GAAAAGAAAAGAAAAGAAAAGAAAAGAAAAGAAAAGAAAAGAAAAGAAAAGAAAAGAAAAGAAAAGAAAAGAAAAGAAAAGAAAAGAAAAGAAAAAGAGAGACACCCGGCGAGGTGCGGGAGGCGCTGCCGCCGCCGCGCGGAAGCAGTTGCGGCTCTCGGGGCTGCGGGCGGCCCCGCGGCGGCTCCCGCGCGGCCCCAGGGACGGGTCCCGGCCCGGGTCCCGGTGCGGAGCCCACGGGGTCCCCGAGCCCAACGGCGGCCACGCCGGGGAAAGTTGCGGGCTCGCGCGGGCGCCTTTCTGCCGCCGCCGCCGGGCGCCTTCCCTTTCAACCCGGAGCCCTCTGATTGCGGCAGAATTAGGCAATAATAAAAATAAATATTTTGAAAAATAAAATCGTTCTTTTTCGTTCTTTTTTTTTTTTTTTTGTCATTTCCCCCCTCATTCCCACGCGCCGCATCTACACGCGCCGCTCCTGAGGCCCCGGCCGTGCCGGGAGCCTCGCGGACGTTGCGCGGCCGCGGGGCAGCCCCGCGGGGCCCGGGCCGGGGCCTGCGGCGCCTCTTACCACGTAGGAGGTGAATGCGGCGGCGGCGGCGGCGGCCGGGTCGGTGCCGTACTGGAGGTGGGAGTTGTAACCCGGGGACGGGGCGCTGAAGGCGGTAGATCCGGCATAGGGGGAAAAAGCGGAGCCCGAGGAAGATCTGCCAAGTTCATCGGTGCGCGGCCCGGAGATCACGCTCGTGCTGTACGCCGGGCACGAGTAGAGAGCCAAGGAGGCCGACGGCTGGTACAAGTAGCCCTGAGGATACGACATGGCCAGGCGCGCACATAGACGCGGGGCCGGAGCGCGCCGGCCGCGCGGGCAGCACCTTGCTCGGCTCCGCGACCGCCGCCGCTCGCGCCGCTCCCGCTTTCCTGCCTCGCCTTCCCTCGCTCGCGCTCTCCCCCTTGCACGGGAGGGGGGGTTCGGGGGGGGGGCGGCTCCCCCTTCCCCGCTTTCCGCGCGGTCCTGCCAAGATGCTAAGTTGGAAAATCGCAGCTCGCGACGCCTTGTGCTGCGCGGCGCGGCCAGGCTCCTCCTCCGCGGGGTGTTGTCAGCGCGGGGGCCGGCGGCGCCCGGCCC